TCGGCACAGAACTTTGTATCAATATTTTGCAGGCTATAGTATAAAGAAAAAATTAAACAAAGCATCCCAAAATTCCCCGAAAAAAAAATAAAAAATTTTGGCATAAAATGATTTCAAATTCAGTAAATTAAATCATGCAACAAAAAATTGTGAAGTAAATAATCAATAAATATGTTCTACTAACTTTTATTTTATGTTAATATTATTAATGTTTTATCATATTAATTTAATTATTTATATTATAAAACTAGAAAATAAAAAAATATATTATTTCTAATTTGTTATATTGGTTTATTGTTATTATTATTATTAGACATTATTTATTTATATATTAAATTAAAATTAAAACAGTGAATTGCTCGAATCCTTATCAACACATGATGCTCTTCTCTGCAGGAAAAAGGGAGTTTTCACACTGATGTAAAAGTTTCAGTCAATTCCAACTGACGATTCCATGCTATATTGGAATTTGTGATTGCACTAACCTAAAATCGGCACCCCATTTCTTTACTCATTAACACTCAGACCTGCGTCACAAACTTCAAAAAAATAAATTAAAACAGATAAACTTGACAATTCGATTTTTTTTAAACCTGATTTTGACCAATCAACACGGTCAAAATGATTTTTTTTGTAATTTGATCTTACATCAAGGTGGACGTAATTTGCCGTAAATTATATACTTGGTGTGAAAAAAATCAGACGAAATTAAAGTAGCATATATGAATCTACATTAGCAAAAATTAGAATCACATTAAATAACCCGACTCTTTAAAGACATGCCAAAATGAACCATTTCCTACAATTAAACTCAATTTTGGCATAAATTCATTACCCCAAACTTGTGGATGAAAACTTTCTACAATTAAAAGGCACATAGGATAGAAAGAATACACTCAGCTCCTAAATGCAATCTGAATGCAACATAGTACTGCAAACATGTATAAAGTTCTCATAGTGCATAGAAACAGGAAAAAACGTAGAAGCATTTACAGTAATCAGGTTTATGTATACAACTATCGATACGAAGTTTGCGATTTTTACATTGGATATATAGTCATGTAGTACAGCTGATTTGCTATCTATACTTATGTTTGTAGAAATTGTGATTATTTCCTATTTACCAAATTTGCGGATGCATCGTAATTAATGTTAAATAGAGGGCTCTATATATGTCATTCCATTTCTAATGTAAGAAGCATTATTACAACATATACAAGAAGATCAAGCCAAAAATGGCTTGATCGGTCTATTCTATGCTACACCGGGTGAAATACACCGGGTAGATCATTACCACACACACACACACACACACACACACACACACACATTGGTGTGTGTAGATCAACGGTAAAAATTCACGCGGTGTAGTCTTCCCCAGGTGTAGCATAGAAATAACCGGTTTGATCCATCAAGCAAATTTTTTGCTTATATTGCAGGCCAACAATAAAAATTATGATCCCTAACCATGCTATCGGATGAAAATTTAGCATTAATTAGTAATATATCAAGGCTAATTAAACCTATTAAACAAGGCCTAAGTATGTAGGATTAAATGAGAAGCAGGCAAAAAACGGGTCATTTTGCTAAACTACAGGGTAAAACGGGTCATTCTTATAAAGCATAGGAGGATAAGAAACCTGCCGCTCACCAAAAAATATCGAAATTTGAGATCTGGCAAGTCATTTTGCTAAGGAACATTACCATTTCAAGATTAATTATGCTTACACAGCAGTGTTTATTATACTTGCAATATGCAAACTATATCGTAAGTTGTTTCCTTAACTAAATTGTTTATTTGTTCCAAGTCCATAATGAAAAAAGTTACATACTCTTACAAGCAAACCAAGATTCAACTCTCACTCATCAAAGTTACCTATAACCGTAAAAAAAAGGTCTAAAATTACTAAACTCGAATATTTCATCACCTAAATATAGAAAACAAACCAAAAAATAGGTGTATACATGCAGGTCACGACATGAATCTTCTTACGTGTCGATGACCATGAAGAAGTTGACAAAACATATAACTCGATCTGGTGATCATGACGACATTCTATTTGGATGCATGCTAAACATGTTTTGCCACGTTCATAAGATTCCAAAACTACGTAAATTTCTATTCAAGTCATGATTTATTTTATGCAATTGACAGTTTCACCAGCTGTTAATAAAAAGATCCTTTACCTTGTTACTACAACTAAAATATTAGATGATCCTAGTCATAAAATTGAAGTACTAGAAAGTCCCATACATGAAAATTTTCAATAGAAAATCACAATATAACGGGACTCAAAAGAAAATGCAATTTCTACAATGCAAGAAAATGCACATTAAGGATATATTGGTTAATGACGTGGCCTGTTAATAAATAAAACATTTAATTGAATTTATTCGTATTTATTACCTCAACTGCCATGTCGGCGAAAAAAGGCCAGAATTCCAGCTAGCAAGTGCTACGTAGCAGCACCTCCACTTGCATGTGCACCGTGTGTCTCTCGCAAAGAAGAGTTTCACTTTGAGTAGATTACTTCTTCCTTCGAGCTCTTCCACCTAAGCAAGCACTAGCGGTGTGTCCATACATACTCCTCTGTTTTCCCCTACTCCTATTTAAAGGAAAGACTTGACTTCAAAAATCATTCTACTCGTTTTACTCCTTCTGTTCATCTGCATATAAGCCTTTCCTTCGTTTCCCTTACTTTTCTTTACACTAGATCCATTTTCTTTCTTTTTTTTTACACCACAAAAACCAGTTTTTCACCATGAGAGACTTAGTTCTCAACTTGCGGGAGCTGAACGACACCAATGATCCAACGATGAGCCTAATCAATACTTGGGACAGTATTCGTGTTCCAATTATTGTCCCTGTTTTGCGAGTTGCAGTTTATGTATGCATATGCATGTCTGTAATGCTATTTGTTGAACGCATTTACATGGCTGCCGTGATTGTGTGCGTCAAATGCCTGGGGAAGAAACGATACACCAAGTATCAGCTAGACGCCATCAAACAAGATCTGGAGAGAAACAAAAACCATCCCAAGGTGTTGGTTCAGATCCCAATGTTCAATGAGAAAGAGGTAAAATTTATTTAAGTATGCTTTGTCTAATCTCGTATGCATTGAATGCATTAACAAATTTTCCTAAATGAATATCATTGGCATATAAAAACTTTTAATTATTACAGTTCAACAGTAAATTATCTTAATTAATGAACAGAGAGAGTTTTAGAACAGTCAGAAGCAATTATTAGAATTTAGAAGTATTGCGTCTAGTCGTCTATATGTGCATGCATTTCAATTATAGCTACATACATGTATTTCTAATTTCATTTTTTTCTTTTCTTTTTTTGAAGATGAAGTTTCTTATCCTAGAGACAAAATTTGTCTTTTCCGCTTTTTCATTAATCTTCTGTTAGCAAATAGCGTTTTCACAAGGTTATTCATCAAATGATCAGCATTTTAAAGATATGATAAATCCTTTGAAGACAATCTAATATACTAAGTTTTCAATCTGCAGAAATTTAATCCCAATATGTCCATCTATGCTGTAAATATACGAATAAAACATGAAACGAGTAATAAATGTGTGAAAAGATAAGCATTTCAGCACCGCATTTTTGTCCAATTCTAACTATCGAGAAATCAAAGAAGAACCAGACACATCAAACTTAAAGACAGTACTCGGATTGTTTGAAACATGTTTAAATTTGAGTCACAGAGGAAAAACTAATCCAAAATGTTCACTTTGCCTCAGGTTTATAAGCTATCTATTGGAGCAGTATCCGGGCTTTCATGGCCATCAGATAAACTCATCGTGCAGGTTTTGGATGACTCCACAAACGAAACCTTAAGGGTATAACTTTCCTACCCCTTATTAACTTAATTAGACTCCGTGACAAATGTGTGCCTATAGAATGACTATCAAGAATGAATATATGCAGGTAATGGTCGAATTAGAGTGCCGAAAATGGATAGAGAAAGGTGTAAATGTCAAGTACGAGACGAGGAACAACAGGAATGGCTACAAGGCAGGCGCCCTTCGAGAAGGTCTTAAGAAGCGTTATGCTGATGAATGTGAATACGTCATCATCTTTGATGCAGATTTTCAGCCAGATGAAGATTATCTCTGGAGGACTATCCCATACCTAATTGAAAACCCAGAGCTAGCCCTGGTTCAGGCCAGGTGGAAATTTGGTAAGGATATATATATTCATATCGTAAATGTATATCATAGTCAAAAAAGGGTCTCTGAATATCAAATTAATTGATAACTAAACACCTAAAGATCAATTTCATTTTGCAGTTAACGCAGATGAATGTCTGATGACTCGACTCCAAGAGATGTCACTGGACTATCACTTTACTGTCGAGCAAGAAGTGGGATCCTCAACGTGCTCGTTTTTTGGATTCAATGGTTATCCCAGACTGAAAATTTAAAAAAGAAACTTAATTTCTATGAAAGAAACTATGAGTGGAATTTTAAGATATTTTTGGCTTGAATTTTAGGTACTGCTGGAGTTTGGCGCATTAAAGCACTGAAAGACGCAGGTGGCTGGAAAGATAGAACAACAGTAGAAGACATGGACCTTGCAGTCAGGGCTAGTCTCAGAGGCTGGAAATTCCTCTTTGTGGGCGACCTATCGGTGAGTGTTGAAAACTTGAAAATGTTGTTACACTATCTTACCTTTTACACCACAAAACTACAATAACTTGGCGAATTAACTTTACCAGGTCAAAAATGAACTTCCGAGTACATTTAAGGCGTACAGATACCAACAGCATCGTTGGTCATGCGGACCTGCTAATCTGTTCAGGAAGATGTTGAAGGAAATCATCCTTTGTGAGGTCATCCTTTTCTTCTTTTAATTGACAGCAAAATGTATAGTACTATGATTATGAATCTTATGCAACTTACACATTTTCTTTTCATCTAATATGCAGCGTGTGTCAATCTGGAAGAAATGGCATGTAATCTATGCATTCTTCTTTGTAAGAAAGATTATAGCGCATTGGGTTACCTTTTTCTTCTACTGCATTGTAATCCCAGCGACGATCTTGGTTCCTGAAGTCAACCTCCCAAAGCCGCTAGCCATCTATCTTCCAGCCGCCATTACAATTCTTAACGCAATTTCCACTATAAGGCATGAAGTTCCTGATAAGCAAAATGAAAGAAATTCTTACCATTTTATTTTCTGAAAAAATCTCATCATCGAGTTAATTGTTGGTGTTTCCACTTACTTTGTTGCAGGTCTATCCATCTTCTTGTGTTCTGGATATTGTTTGAGAATGTCATGTCTCTTCATAGATCAAAGGCAGCAATCATAGGACTCCTTGAAGCTAACCGAGTTAATGAATGGGTCGTGACTGAAAAGCTAGGGAACACAATGAAGCAGCCAAAGAACAATAAAGCACCAAAGAGGTCAAGATTTCGCTTTGGAGAAAGGTAACTCGTCCGATAAGCACTACTTCAAATTGTGCCAAAACATGGTATAGAAAAACATATTTATCCCATAAGTAAAACAAATCATCAAGGTAACCACCAATACGACCAAATGCACAAGAACAAATCTTTAATTTTCGTGGGGCATAAAAATATTCAAAATCTATTACAGTTTCACCATTGTTCTATACTAACTTAATATAACATTTATGCTTCTATAGGGTTCAAATATTGGAGATCTTGGTTGGCATGTACCTACTGCACTGCGCCATCTACAACATACTGTTTGGACACAACCATTTTTTCGTGTATTTGTTGCTACAGGCAGGGGCTTTCTTTATTGTCGGAGTTGGCTATGTTGGAACATTTGTACCCAACTAAAGATGACAACAGAAAGAACGCAGTACGCCTTGGGAGAACTACGAGCGATGGTGATTACCTGATAGACTGTATTTGGTTGTTGTATTTATGTTTCCTGTTTTTCAGAATGCATTATATAAGTGTAAACTAAAGCCATGCTACTTTATTAAATAAAAGTTTTTCCTTTTTAATAAAAAAATATCGGTCATTACAACACACGTACACAAAGGGATTCGAATTCCCGAACTCTCTCCCCACACCCCACAGTGGGAGAAGTCCCAAAACCAATAGGTTAACAACCTATTACATATTTCACATCTTGATTCATCTATTAATACCATTTACTATGTATTTCTACATTGTAGAAGCTCGTTTATCATGCGGATTAAATCTGCCCTAAGAGAATTCTACAAATAATTGAATAATTTGTATGGTATATTTCTTCATACCACATCCAATTCTCTGTATACTAATCTCAACGATTCTGTCGATCGCATATCTACTCATCCCTAATTCAAATAAAAGCACAAAATTTTGAAATTTCAAACACTATCAGATATACAATAACTGGTTATTTCTGGATTCATAATACCAAAGGAATTGACACCACTCCAACTCCCATAAAAAACACCCTCTCAATTCATTTTACCAATATTAACTATACACAAAATGCAAAAACATGAATTTTTACGCATAAACATACAGCACTAAAATATGAAGAACAGTGCGAAGACACTCACCAACAAATGCAGAAGACTCCGGTTAATTTTACCCAGCTAATCGCCTCTGAGCGTCTCCAAATTCGATTCGATTATAGAAACATTGTAAATAGCTATTACAATCGCTGATTAAAATTAGGGCTATTGATTTGTGCATAAATGGCATTTAGAATGCAAATTCAGAGATTAAACGAAAAGGAGTGTGAAAATAGTCGTTGATCCTCATTTTTTGGGTTCGTTCAGCCCACCGAAAAATCACAAAATGGCCCGAAATTGTTGGATCGAATTTGGATTGAGTAAATTAAAAATAAGATAAGAATATAATAATAATAATAATATAAATTATTATTAAGAGATTATTAAAAAAATAAACTAATATTAATAGGGATTTGCTTTTTACCGTTTGAAAAAGGCTATTTACCGTTCAAAAAAACTCTCTCTCTCTCTCTCTAAAAAAAATTGCTCTCAAGACAATTTCTTCACAAATCATTCTTATTGGTGTGATATACGAACATAAATGAATTTATCGAATGAAGATCGGGATAGCGAACACAGCGAGGTAAAAATTCCGTCTTTTCGATCGAAAATACTGGGCTAAACATTCAAAAGCCCAACTTGGGCGCCCGACAGTGCCGG